CTCCCTTTCAGTGGGGGAAGGTGGCAAGGTTCGTTGGGGTCAGATCTTGGAAACCTCGAATGCTGTGTTCAGGAATGTGTTCAAGAGGCAAGCAGACAGCAGTTTGAGCAGCTGAGGGATGGAACACCTGATTCTGAGGACAACACTCCAGTGGCAGGGAGAGGTAAGATAGGGGAGGAAGGAGGTGAGGGTGAAAAATGCAGAGCTGGGGACTGCCGAAAGTCAAGGGACAGAGCACGGCCCTTTCCTCAAGGAGCTCAGGGCTCACCAGGAAAATTAGACACATGCGCATCAACACCCAGAGAAGACCCCCATGTACCGAAGATACATCTGTCTTCAGGTGGATGCCAGGGAAACAAGGTTTCTGATTCCTCACCTGCAAAATGGGGTGACGGTAATATACTTACCTTTCCAGATTGTATAAGGATGAAATCACTTTAGGCAAGTGAAGTGTTAGGCACATGCCCAGGATGCAGGCAAAGTTCCACGTTCAAGCGCACATTCTGGCCCTGGTCAGCCTCCAGGGTGGAAGAAGCTGACTGCATTTTGTTTCTATTGCCCAGGGTCAGAGGAATGAGGGGGCGCTCTGGGGCTAAGCAGGACGGGAGATTGAAAGGTAGGTTGGGGCATGTGTGTCATGAAGACAGCCAAATGCATCAGGCCTCTTTTATTTCAATTTAATTAGGACTTGACTCCTATCTCCCTCCCCTGGTTCCATCCCCAGGGCACATCTTTTGTTCCTGCCATGGGACCTATGGCTTTTTGAGTTGAGAGACCAAGGGCGGGGAACACAGATGCATGAATGGGGGTAATCTAGATAGGAAGGCACCAGGTTCTGAAGCCAGCACTGTTTTGTTTTGTTTTGTTTTTTTTAAATATATATATATATATTAAATTTATTTCTAGGAGAGAGAGAGAGAGAGACAGCGTGAGCAGGGGAGGGTCAGAGAGAGAGGGAGTCACAGACTCTGAAACAGGCTCCAGGCTCTGAGCTGGCAGTCAGCACAGAGCCCGACGTGGGGCTCGAACCCACGAACCGCGAGATCATGACCTAAGTGAAAGTCGGACCCTCAACCAACTAAGCCACCCAGGCTCCCCATGAAGCCAGCACTGTTTACCAGCTGTGTGAGTGGGGACAGGTCAGCCTGACTTGCCTGGTCTTTTCTTCCCATGTGACAAGGGTGTTGGCCACTTGCATCTAACATGTCCTGGGCCCCAGGCTCTCTGTGAATCTGAGGTGTTTGGGAATTCCAAGGATCACAGGCGCATGGCTGCAATCGCCGCTGGCACATTGATGGCTCTTCTTTATTTAAAAAAAAAAATTTTTTTTTAACGTTTATTATTGACAAACAGTGAGAGACAGAGCACGAGCAGAGGCGGGGCAGAGAGAGAGGGAGACACAGAATCCAAAGCAGGCTCCAGGCTCTGAGCTGTCAGCACAATCTCTATTTCCAGTCCTTTCCTCAAGTCTGTGCTTCAGTGTCACAGACACAACTTCTTGGGTGTCCCGTGGGTATTCAGAGTCAACATGTTAAAAATCGGACTCATCATTTTCTTCTCCCAAACTTGCTTCTCGTCTTATCTTCTGTATCCTGGTTAGTGACATTCAATCGCAGCACTCAGATAATCTACCCAGTAACCCAAGTGGGAAACCTGGACCCCTGAGCACCTTCCATGGCTTCATGCCCTCAACACATCACACACACCCTGTACCGTGCACCACCTCTACATCCAATGAGTTGCTAATGCCTATAAATTCTGCCCCCTAAATACCTGTAGCATCTGGTCCCTCCTCTTCCCTCCCACCAGTACTGATCTCAGGCCCTTGGGGGACAGGGACAGATGCATTGGCTTCTCAAAGTGCAGTGTGTGACCACCTGCAGCCTCGCATCTGCATTCGGCTTCAGGCAAAATACCTGCCTTTCTCAGCAACTCACTCTACCTGCCTGAAACGTCTTTTGCTCTTTCCCTCTTGAGTCTTACTCCTCCAGTGAAACCCTGTGCCCTCTTCAGGAGCCTTCCCTGACCTCTCTCTCCAGACCAGGCTGAGCCTCTCCTGCTCTGTGCTTTGCGGCTGCTCACAACACTTGCCGCAGCCCCTACTGCACTTCAGCCTGAGGGCAGGGGCTGTGCTGTCCATGTGTGCATGTTCAGCACTGCATAGAATGTGGCACCTTCCGCATGGTAGAGCAAGCAGATAATCACACCTAAGTGCATGACTTTGGGGAGAGGTGCCCAACTTGAACCTCAGCTGATATTCACAGAATCATACAACTGGGTGGAGATAAGGCCCAATCTCATAGGTAAAGTCCAAACCCTTATTTATCTATTCAGCTTTTGTGTTTTGAACACCTTGGAGTCAGGCACCACTGTACTGGGGACTGAGGTTCCAAGATGAAGGAAACACCACTCTGGGGCCCCCAAAGAACTTGGAGGTCAGGGTCAGAAAACCAAGGTAAGGGCATCCTGTGCAGCTTATGAACAGGTGCTATGGCTGCAGGATGGATAAATGTATGCATTTGTGTCTTGTTGGCAGGTGTGGTGGCCGAGGCTCTGTCCCAACCCTCAACTGAGATGTTGTGATGGGAGAATGAAGTCATTTAGTATGAAGATGAAGAGGACTTTACCAAACCTGCACTTAAGAGCAGGGCAGGAACATCACCAAACTGCATGTAGAGCCCATAATCATGTCCCCTGACTTGGACAGGAACCACAGGAAAAATCATTTTAAACCTCGTGCCTGTGTAACAGCTCCTACTTGGCGTTCATGTTTGCATCCAGTAGCTATATCTGTCTCTACATGTATAGCTGTGATGTGATATGCTGATTTGGATGGTCTGAAAACATACAAGTTGAGTAAGAAAGACCCCCCATATTAAGAAGTTTAAAATTTAGGGGAGCTAACTCATGCATGAATATAACTAAAATGTAATAAATCCCAGAAGGATTGTGGAATAGCATTTATTTTTTTTATAATGTTTTTATTTATTTCTGAGAGACACAGCATGAACAGGGGAGGAGCAGAGAGAGAAGGAGATACAGAATCTGAAGCAGGCTCCAGGTTCTGAGCTGTCAGCACAGAGCCTGAAGCGGGGCGCCAGCACACAAACCATGATATCATGACCTGAGACGAAGTCGGACGCTTAACGACTGAGCCAACCAGGCGCCCCTGGAATAGCATGTATAAAGTGCTTTGAGTTTCCACTATAAGCTCAGGTGATCTGGGCCAGCAAGAGCTTATGAGTGGGAACACGCTGCTAAATACGACCAAGGACACAGGCCAGTTACCTGGGGACAGATCTGCTCACTGACCATGGGTGACCCCTAAACCGAGCCAGCCTCAGGCCTCCTTCCTGAAAGTTCCATTGTGCATAAGGTGTGTGTGTTGGGAGGGCGTGGATGCCTGGATGCCTGGGATCCAGAGCATTCTAATTTTGCTGAGTGAATCTTCATGAACAAAGAGCAGGTCCCGCTTCCAAAACCCAGATGTCTGATCTCATTAAAAATTTTTGGTAATCCGGTAATGGGACCGATTACAAACCGTGGGAATTTAAAATGACCCACGTTTTGAAATATACATCCGCCCTGTACAAAACTAACACGTTCCTTTCCTGTTTTTTTTTTTTTTTAGAGAAATTGACTCCCTGAGTACGAAGCACTGTTTAAATCAGAGAACATATAACACTGATATTTTAATTCCCAGTTTTATAAGAGTACTGCTTGGTCTCAAAGAAACAAGCTTTTGTTGACATGGATATTAGGGGAACACTAAAATACACCAAAGATAGTCACACACATCCCACGGTATTTATAGGGAACACCCTCTGTCTTTCCCATATGCAGCGTGGAAAACAGGGTCAGAACGATCCTGCAGAAACTTCCCGAGGAAAACAGCACGGTCAGCGGTTCCCAAGGCTGAGCCCGGCTCCGGCGCTTCCTTCGCTGCTCCAAAGACGCTGTGCCAACCCGCCAGCGCCTGCGCGCAGCCGACACGCAGGGTTTGTGGAGCCCAAGGTCCCTAGAACGGGACTGAGTACTGGGCACCCTCTCTTCCCTCCAAGACCCATCTGACAGACACTCCAGATTATCCGCCCAGGAGTCTAGAGAGCTAAATCCCGGCTGCCCCTGCGCCCTCCCCGCCCAACCTCCAGGGTTAATCACCCCTCCCCCTCCGGTGCGCTTCACCCCACTTCCCCCGCCTGGCGCCGCGGATGCGCCTTCCCCGCAGGGGGTTCCAGGACCTGCATCACCAACGGCCCTGACAGCTCCTGCAAAACACAAAACAACAACAAACCTCGAGGGGGCTCTTCTTTGTTTTTTTCCCTGGGTTAACTCGGTTTTTAGAACACAGCTCCCACCCCCATCCCAAGTAGGCAGATTTCTCTCACCTTCTCATCAGTTGCGGGCCGCTTCATTCTCTGTTCCTGGCCCTGGGCTAAGGGTTCGTCCCCTATTAAATCTAATCGCAAGCCTCTGAGGTGGGTGATGGTGTCCGTATATTACAGATGCAAAAAACCCTGAGGTACCAAGAGTAACTTGCTTAGGGTCTTAGCTACTAATTAGATGGGCACAGCTGCATTAGGAGCCTAAATCCGATTTGACCCCACAGCCCTAAATCTTTATTGCTGTTTTTTCCTACACTGATAATAAAAATAAGAGCTAATACTTATTGAGCAGGCACTGTGCAAAGGATTTCTCCAAACTACTTTCAGAGGCGGGTATGCACTTATCACTTATCGGATCTTGAGCAAATGTCTTAACCTCTTTTTGACTCAATTCCCTGTCTGCAAAATGAGGCTAAAAACATGGCCGCTGTTAAGAGTAATGAAATAATAGTGGTAAAGCCTTGAGAACACAGATGGACACGTATTGATCCCCCAAAAAGTCCTTTTTTTTTTTTTTTTATGGTTGCCATCGCCTCAATTTCACCGGTGAGGAACCTAGACTTGGAGAGATTAAGCAACTAGTTAGCCCGGATTGCTCAGTGCACACTCGGCAGCATGGACTTGCTCGCAAAGTGGTGCGGAACGCGGGCCCGCCCGCAGGTGAGTTGCACCTGGCAGCTGGGAGCCTTGCTTCTCGGGAGTTGGAGCACAGCGCTCTGCTGCCCTGAGGCCTCGAAAGATCCTTAGGCTGGGGGGTCGCCGCGCTTCGGGTGTGGGCGTGCGAGGGCCCTGGAGGTGTCGAAGCACTGCGAGCGACACGCGTGCGCCAGGGCGAGCTCACTAGCGGGCGAGGAGCCGTCCGGCGTCAGGAGCCCCCCAGCCGCCCGGCGCACACACGTTCACCACCCAGCCCGCCCCGGGGCCGCTAGCCCGGAGCCCGCCGCCAGCCCGCGCTCCCCCGCCCGCGGCGCTCCCGGGCGGAGTTTCCTCCTCTGCTCATTGTTCCCGGCCCAGCGCCCGCCCCGCCCCGCCTGCCCCGCTGCAGCCGCCCGCGCGCTCCTGGGCAGGGGGGAGGGTAGGCAGAGGAGGGGGGGAGGAGGAGAGGGGAGGAGGAGGGGGCGGGGACGGGGGCCGGCGCGGACGGGACGAGAGTCGCCGCAGCCGCCGGCCTGGCCCAGCCGCGCAGACACCGCCCGCGACGCAGCCACCCGCCGCTCCGCCGCCTGGCTCCGCGCCTCAGTCCGGATCTGCCGCAGCGGTGGCGAGGAGAGGCAGCTGGAGCGCAACTCGGGAGCCCCGGGTCACCACCCGGCCGCGGGAGCCACAGCCAGGCCTCCCTGAGCGGCGCCCACGCTCTCGCTGTTCGGACGCTCGCACCCGCAGCCACCTGCTCCCGGCCGGAGGCCAGGACACGATGCGCTCCGCGCTGGCGCTCTCCGTGCTGCCGCTCTCGGTGCTGCTGCTGCTGGTGCCGCTGCCGCGGCCTGTCTTTGTAAATGGTGAGTGGTGGCCCGGACTCCGCTGGGACCCCCCCCCACCCCCCCGCCTCGTGCTGGTGTGCCCACAGCCGGGCCGCACTTCGTGGCGGGACCTGGAGCAGCGCCTGTGCGCGCCTCTCGCCCGGGCCACACGGGGAGCCCTGACCTTGAACCATTCACGCCCCTTCCAAACCCGAGAACACTGCAGGTGCCGGGCCCGAGCGCGGATTGTCCCGGGTCTCCGTTCGGGTGGAGTGGGCGGTAGATTGTGCTGGGGCAGACCGCGGGACGACAGCCCGGAATGGGTTTGCGGGCAAAGAGAGCGGGGAGTTGGGGCATCGCCAGGCTCAACGTTTTCGCGGGACCCCCGAGGTCTGGTCACTCTTTCTCTCCGTTTTTGGAAGGGGATGAGCAACGGTATTGTGTAGTTGATTCCAGCAGAACAGCAGGCTGGAAGCTCATGCGGAAGTCCCTGAAGCAGGTGACAAGCCTCCAGTAACAGCTCAGGCGGTGATGTGTTCTGCATTTGCAGCGTGTGCGGTTCAGCCCTCCTGAGCCTGTGCTGGGACAGGTAAAAGGGGAGTAAGTGGGCCCTCCACAGTCTCAGAGTCGCCTAGCTGAGTAGGATCCTTGTCTCCTATGCCACCAGGGAACAGCTCCCTTCTTGGCCATAGCCAGGAAGGTGAGACCCCGCCTGTCTCTTTTATAAACAGGAACTTGTCTCCTGGAACAAGGTTGGGTGCACCTTAGAAACAGCCCTCATATTTTTTCTCAAGGTGAAATGTTACCCTTTTGGGGAGACAGGGGTGGCTGCAGACTCAGCCAAGAAAGTGTCCCAAAGCCCCTGAGAACAGCTGGAGGGAGGTTCAGCCTCAGGAAGGAGATGCGTTTCTTTGTGGCCTGCCTGAGCACATGTCTGCTGGGAGAAAGAGAGGGGGTGGTGCTCCTCCCCTAGGTAGGGCCAGGAAGACTTTGGTGACGGCCCAGCGAGGGAAGGGACCTTGCTGCTGGCAGGCACTGGCATTTGGAGCTGAACTCTTAGGGGGCAGAGTGGGAGGGAATGGCTGTACAGCCTCTTCTCTGCACTGTGTGCACCCTTCGTGGTAGGGGGCTGGGTCTCTGAGGGCAAACAGGTGTGAGACTCCTGCGGTCGGTGGCCCTGAGGCTCCACCAGCGTGGCCTGAAAAAAGGAGAGGGCACTTTCAGTGGGCAAAGGTGTGTGCCCCCAAAGGGTATTTTGTGGTGTGAAGAAGGGTCTGAACAGCTCTGAGGATGGCAGTCACGTCAGATTTGCATACCCTGCTGGGCTGAGAAGATTATGGAGCGGGGGCCACCCCCAGCCCTGCTCTCAGAGCAGCCAGAGTTCAGCATGGGGCTTGACGTGCACCTGTTTGGAGAGAGCTTCTTGGCACCACCTAGAAGGGAGAGGGGCTGTGTCAGGAGGGATAGACTAATTCCTGGGGCTCCAGAGCCTGAAGAGACGGAACTGTGAGGAGAGGCTGGAGGCTGTTCTGCACTAAGAAATGCTCCAGAACCGCCCATGGGAAAAGCTCTCAGCCCAACGCGCTGCTGGCTTCAAGGCTGGGATGGTCTTCCTGGGCATCTGCCCAGCCAGAGCCGATGCCTCTTTCCGGAAGCCCTCCTTAAGCCTAGCACAGGGCAGGGCACGTGGTAAGGGCGTGATCAGTGGTAAACAAATGTGGTGAACAGAGCCATACTCCCATCCCCCCCAGCAAGTCTCTGGGCCTTTCCAAGCCCCCAGTGCCCAATCACTAAAATGCTAGTCCAATATATAATAAAGGGGTAAAAGGAAGTAGTTTGAAACCTGTAAAGCACAAAGGAGTAGTAGTAGTAAAGTTTACTTATTTTGCATGCCGGGGAGGGGCAGAGAGAGAAGAGAGAATCCCAAACAGGCTCCGCACTGTCCATGCAGAACCTCGAACTCGGGAACTGTGAGATCATGACCCAAGCCGTAATCAAGAGTCGGACATTCAACCAATTGAACCATCCAGGCGCCCCTGTTATTATTATCATTATTTTGTATACCTGGAGACAGAAAAGGCTGAGGAGTGCCGGTGTGGTGTTCAGTACACTCCCATAGGGACTCAGTAAGGACTGCTCCATCTCTGCCCTTCCAGGGCGTGGCCACCTGGGCTGCAGTCATCAAGGATGGTGTCAACCCCCCCCCCCGCTGGAATACTTTGATTCTAAACAATAAAGGATTATAATGTGAGTCTTAACAAAGGAATTACCCCTCCCCCCACCCCAGGTCCCCTGCAAGCTTGCTTTATAGAGCTTACCTTTTTTTAATTACAGGTGAATTACATAGCCTACAGCATAAACAGCATTAAACCCAGGGGTTAAACCGAGGGGCCCAACAGTCATTAGACTCCTTTTCAGTGCTTTTGGTTTGATACTCATTTAGTTGAGCCACATGGTGAGCTGCACCTATGGGCCTCAGTTCTCTTATCTATAAGATAGAAGAAAAGAGCAGAGAGCACCTCTGGTTTCATGTTATATAATATTTCTGGGGTTTTCTTTGCCCTTTAGCTGCCGAAGGACAGGCTTTGTATTATCCATCTGATCGAGTGATTCTGAATTCTAGGGAGGGAGAGGCAGCTTGGTGTGGTGGAAATCGCTCCGGGGCACATGGGTGGTTCAGTCAGTTAAGTGGTTCATGAATTTGAGCCCCGTGTCAGGCTCTCTGCTGTCAGCTCAGAGCCTGCATCGGGTCCTCTGTGCTCCCCCTCCACTGCTCCTTCTGTCAAAAATACATAAACATTAAAAAAAAAAAGAAAGAAAGAAAGAAAACAGACTTTGGGTCAGATAGACCCCTGAGACCATAGACAAAATAGTGAACGTCTTTGAGCCTCGGTTTCCCCGGCTGTAAGATGATAACAAAGCTACCTTGCAGGTTGCTCTGAAGGTGGGAGATAACATAGAATGAGCTCGACAGTGTGCCCAACTCACGGTCAGAGCTGAAGTCTTGGCTGTGGTGATTAATAAAGCGTATGAATTGAGAACTTGATCGGTCTGAGGCAACTGAGTGTCAGGATCCTGCTGACGTTTGTGGGTATCAATTGACAGATAGTTGCAAAGACTGAAGTTTTAGGGCCATGAGGTGTGGGAAGATGAGGCGTGTGTAAAAGAAGCGGTAAGATGTGGGTAGGGGCGACCTAGGCCAAGCTTCCTGAAGGAGGTGGGAGTTTATACAGGGATTTTAAGATAAAAAGGGTCAGCGTGGGGTGGGCTGGCTGGGGCTGAATGAATTGCTGGCTGGAGGCGAGACACAGATTGGGTTCTTGAGGTGGTATGAGCTGCAGGAAGGCTTTGGGGAGGAGAGGTGAGTTTGCAGAGCCCAGGGAGAAAGTTCCATGGGAGGAGGTTGGATCATGGTGGGTATTCCTAGCATGGTCCTGCTTGGGCTTGGCTCTGAGGCAAGAGAGAGCAAGCTATAGGGGTTGGGAGCAGACTGGGCTCAGCAGGTGAGGGGGGAAGGGGAGGGGGGAGGTGAGGGGGGAAGGGGAGGGGAGGGGGGCAAAGAGGAGGGGAGGGGGCAGGGGGAGGGGTCACAAAAGCACCTTCGCCGGATCTGTGGGGTGTGTCCCTCCGAGGAGGGGCAGGTGTTGGAGGATGTCCTCTGGCAGTCAGCAGGGCACAGAGGTGGGACAGAGGCATGGATGTCTTGCCACATCTTCCTTTTCCCCAGGCGTGCATGTTGAAAGGGAGCGGAGGGGCTCCTGCTGGTTGGAGTTTGATCCCTCTGCCCTTGGGAAGCCGAGAGATGAAAGGGCTCTCACCTGGTTCGAATTCCTCCGAGCAGGGAAGACTGGAGATTTAACCCTGGATAATTTCTGACCTCAGGTCTCATCTCTGCTGACAAGCCTTCCCTGGTTTCTAGACGGAAACAAATTATGCTCCGGGGTCTGTTTGGGTGTCTCTTCCAGCATGCGGAGAGCCCCTCCAGGGCAGGGGCCCCAGCGGGGCCTGTCGGGGGCCCCAAGCAGCAATGGGCACCGAGCAGTTGCTCAAAATTTTACCTGCACCTTTAACTGAGGGGAGCTGGGGCCTAGGCCTTGCTTTCAGGCTTTCAGAAAGGCAAGTCCTAGGCCAGCTCGTGTCCTGGGCAATGATGGTGGTCGGTGGGCTCTTTCTGCAGCAGCCAGAACTGGCAGGGCCCAACCGGCGGCTGCTGTGTGGACAGCTTGACTAAGCTAAGTTCAAGGCCCTCCACTCCTAAGGGAGGTGGGAGGAGCCCTGTGGACAGCTCACTCACTGCGCTTCCTGGGGGGGGGGCGGGCAGGATCTAGGTGGTCCTCCCCTAGTGAGAGCCTGTGTCTTCACATCCTTGGTGCAGAGGCCCCGGGAGCCCTCTGCAAGTTTGCTGAACGGACCAGCCTGAGCCTTCCTCAGAACTAGAGGCCACGGAGCTCGGCCTCGGCTCTGGGCTCACTTCCTATTTGTGCCTTAGGGTATGAATGCAGGGCTGGGAGCTCAACTGGTGGGTTTTCCTGTCACGTTCTGTTCCCAGGGACATAGGTGGAGTTGCATGGAGTCTCTCTCTTGTCATGGGTCTTGTCAAACAAGGTAGCAGATCTAGGTTTATGACTCTGGGCCACCCAAGCCTCATGACTTGGTGGTATTCTCTCTCTCTCTTTCTTTTCTTTCTCTCTCTCTCTCTCTCTCTTTTTTTTTTTTTTTTTTTGAGAGAGAATCTTAAGCAGGTTCCATGCTCCGTGTGGAGCCCAACACAGGGCTTGATCTCACAATAGTGAGATCATGACCTGAGCCTAAATCAAGAGCTGGACACTTAACTGACTGAGCCACCAGGCGCCCCTGTAGATCTTTTTCTTCTTCTTCTTTTTTTTCCTAATGTTTTTATTTTATTTCTGAGAGAGAGAGAGAGAGAGACAGCATGAGCAGGGGAGGGTCAGAGAGAGGGAGACACAAAATTGGAAACAGCCTCCAGGCTCCGAGCTAGCTGTTGACACAGAGCCCAACGTGGGGCTCGAACCCACGAA